ATCTTTCCAGCGTGGTACTTGAAAAAATCTGTCATACCATTAAGCAGTCGCTCTTCGCCATCGTCGCTGTCGTCTATCGGATGCGTTCTCAAAGATCGCGTTGCAACGTGTTTGTTCGGCTCCCCAGCTAGAACAGGAGTTAGAATGCTGGTTGCCGTCTGGGCCGTGTCAGCCACAGTCGTGGTCAAACCGGACGCAGGACTCGGTACTAGAACAGTGGCTGTCGCCATCAGCGCCAAACACAGCACGCGCATAGATATGATGGGTTGCTCGGTACCAGGAGGGGAAAATCGAAGTGAGTAAGAAAATTTCCCGCCACCTAAACTTGCAGCCTGTCCGTCCGTCTGTCAATAAGTCCGTTCGGTTCCTTTCTTGCTGCTTTTTCCTGTCTACCATAACATGTGAGCACTATAGATACTGAGTGCGGTGTTGTTTTGGAACGTAGCATAAGTAGATCACAGTATACATATAATATATGTTGCTTCGCTTTGAGTAGAAATTCTAAGCCCACCGCAGCGCAGCGGAGGTGGTCGCCCCTCTCTACACCAACAAACCATGCCCTAGCGTCCGCGGAGCGGGCGCCCAGAGCGCTAGTTTCCCGCCACCTAAACTTGCAGCCTGTCCGTCCGTCTGTCAATAAGTCCGTTCGGTTCCTTTCTTGCTGCTTTTTCCTGCCTTTTCGCATGGCTACACCCGGCCTGTCTAATACAGTTTCCTCCCATCCTATCGACCGCGCCTACCTTTCTGACTCGACCTAGCTATGCTAAAATTACAAATATATCCAAAAGCGTGACGCAATTAACTCGCGCCCTGATTGGGCAATACCTGCCGACCTGCGACACTGACTGGATCTGTCGCACGATCAGACCGCCTCTCTCCCTCGCGATTAGACGTAAGGTAAACATTTCTGCCGAGCACGAAACGCATCGATTGGTTGCAAACAGCTAGGCGAGCTGCGCAGATACTTGATTATTGACATTCAGCGACGCAAAACCTATCGTATGTACTGCAAATCGGGCACAGTAACCACTTTATTTTCTAAGAGCTCTGCACACTTCTCAAAAGAGATATCTATTATTATTAATGTAGACTTCACAGACCAGTATTTTGTAAGAGCTCTGGGATGTTATTTTCCACACATCTGTCAAACTAAAGACGATATTAATAGTATTATTATTAAAAATATAAGCTTCACAGGCCGCATTTGTAAGAGCTCGGCGATGCTATTTTCCACAGACTTTCTAAAGTAGAGACGATAGTATTTTTTAATATTAAAGTAGGCTTCACAACCAGCGCTTTTTGTAGAAACTTTGCAAAAAAATATTTTTTACTTCACCTGGCACTCACCACTGCCACCTTGCAATGAAAGCACGCGGCTGCACGGGCATTTCGCTATCTGCTCCCGTGCACCCCACCCGACGAATGCATGCGCGCATGATAGATAATTGTTTTTGTCAGTTTATATTGCATGTAATGTATGTATTTGTTTGGAAAATTTGATATCATTATTAATATAGCAAATAAATAGTAATATAAAAAACATTTTAATATTTTGCCTACTAATAAATACCAGCCCTATATTACCGTGCTATTGGCTAATATTTTGACGCACGTAATTGGTAAAACCAAATAGATTTTGCTAGCTTACTCACAATTTGCAGGACCACGTGTAAGGCATATATTGACCTGCTTCTGCTGAATCGGCAGCGGCTTACGACGGACCCAGGGGCGCTCTGCATCTGCTGTGGGAAGCTGCAGTACGGTTACGCGTTCCGGACGATTAGCGGTCGAGACATCGTGTGGCGCTGTGTAGCCTGCGATACCGACCCAAAGCAGTTGAGTTCTGGGAGGAAAAGCCCCCACCACCTGGGTTGGCCGAAGTGCGTCGCAAGGAAAGCCTGGCAAACGTCAAGAAAGCGATGGGTCCTGACTGGTACCCCAAGAAGAAAAAGAGGCGCAGCCGCACTCGCAAGCTGACCGCCCGAAACTTCAAGTACATCGAGCAAAAGAAGCAGCAGAAGAGCAAGTAGTGGTAAATATACCCTTTATGCCCCCATTTTCCTACCTATTTTTGTTTTGGTATACTGGCTCACGGTGCAAGGCTTGGGGTCGCACATACTGTAAGCTGACTGTGGCGCTACCAAGCGTGTTGACGCACCTATAGAACGTAGCGCGCTTCATATAATAACTAGCACGAGATATGTACGGTGTACCTCTGCAAGCTGGCCGTCCCTATCTGCATACGCGTCACCGTAGATGGCACGTACACTCGCTCACGTGGGCACACGCAAAACCATGTTATCTGTACCATCAGCTCTTATAGCGTATATTGCACTAATTGGCGCTCACAATTTAAACCACAGTATTGAGTGGGAACTACGTGCGACGAATAAGCTGCTGTTTACATAGATACTACCACTGCGTGGCAGTGCATACCGTACAGATGGACGTGGCAAGTCGATGTGTCTGAACGCAATATTGTACTTTAGTATCCTGTCCATAATGACCGAGATAAGAGCTCGGTTGAGTCACGGATGACTATAAGGTGTGCCCTCGCGCGTATATATCGCGTTGGCTACTGCTAACAGACGCGCGTTCAGCATACCTGTATCGCTGCGGAATGGCCTGTGCCCAGTTAGTGACGCGCTTGATTATACAGACTAAAACATCAATAGCGTAAGCACAGAAAGCTAGCACGACGACGCAAACGTCCCGATAAGGAAACAGGGACCCCATGCATAGGTTGGGTATCACGAGCGCGGGGCAAATACACTCATTAACGACCTCGCGATATATGCACGGACACATCAAATAGCACGCCGAGCTGATAGTAGGCAGCGAAAGTACTCCATCTAATGTACATGAACTATTATTCAATTAAGGTCTAACCATCACTACGATCTGATACTCTGCCTACAGCCATATATCGTCGTATGTTGCAGCCGGTCAAAAGAATGTGCACGCAGTGGTGTCTCTTCGTCCGATCTGGACGAGGCCTTTTGTCGTACATATCGGACCCAGTATTTTGTCAGTCGGAAAGGATTTACGCCACTCTGTCAGTCAGTAGCTTTACAAATAAGTTAGAAAGTACGTCAGCTATGCAAGTAAGATCAATGCATGCGGAAGATAGTGGAAATACCCTTCAGTAACATCACAAACAGCTCAGCAGAATAACTTCAAAGCATAATATTGATGTTTGTGGCGACCATCGGCAAATACTACCTACCCTAAAAGATACTTCGCGCGCGGAGCTGATTAATATTGCTCTATTCGACCGTCGCAATCGATGATATGTGTCGACTGCCTCACGGCGATGACGTGCAGGTGGGTAATGTGTGTGAGAAGGCGTATTTACTCTAGCTACACTGGGATTCCTCACCAGTCTATGCCAATTTGAATCATCACTGATACTGACATATCTTCGGAACAGCATTTGTTAGCTTTGCAGCCATGCGCGCCTCCAATTGGCGTCATTTTGGGAGCTATGCACTCAAATGAGACTATAAACAAAACCTTTCCGGGTAAGATGGTGCTCTTCTTGCAGATCACGTTAAACCCTGGTCGTGTCTACCATAACATGTGAGCACTAAGGATACTGTGTGCGGTAAATTACAGTATACATGTACTATATGTTGCTTCGCTTTGAGTAGAAATTCTAAGCCCACCGCAGCGCAGCGGAGGTAGTCGGCCCTCTCTACACCAACCAACCATGCCCTAGTGTCCGCGGAGCGGACGCCCAGAGCGCTAGTTTCCCGCTCCCTAACCTTGTAGCGTGTGTGTCTGTCTGTCCGTCCGTCTGTCAATCCGTCCGTCGCACTCCCTGTCTTGCTGCTTTTTCCTGCCTTTTCGCATGGCTACAGCCGGCCTGGCTAATACAGTTTCGTCTCATCTTACCGACCGCGCCTACCTTTCTGACTCGACCTAACTATGCAAAAACTACAAATATATCCAGAAGCGTTACACAATTAACTCGCGCCCTGATTGGGCAATACCTGCTGACCTGCGACACTGACTGGATCTGTCGCACGATCAGACCGTCTCTCTCCCTCGCGATTAGACGTAAGGTAAAAATTTCTGCCCAGCACGAAGCGCACCGATTGGTTGCAAACAGCTAGGCGAGCTGCGCAGATACTTGATTATTGACATTCAGCGACGCAAAACCTATCGTATGTACTGCAAATCGGGCACAGTAACCACTTTATTTTCTAAGAGCTCTGCACACTTCTCAAAAGAGATATCTATTATTATTAATGTAGACTTCACAGACCAGTATTTTGTAAGAGCTCTGGGATGTTATTTTCCACACATCTGTCAAAGTAAAGACGATATTAATAGTATTATTATTAAAAATATAAGCTTCACAGGCCGCATTTGTAAGAGCTCGGCGATGCTATTTTCCACACACTTTCTAAAGTAGAGATGATAGTATTTTTTAATATTAATGTAGGCTTCACGACCAGCGCTTTTTGTAGGGAATATATATATTTTTACTTCACTTGGCACTCACCACTGCCACCGTGCAATGAAGGCGCGCGGCTGCCCGGGCATTTCGCTATCTGCTCCCGTGCACCCCACCCGACGAATGCATGCGCGCATGATAGATAATTCTTTTTGTCAGTTTATATTGCATGTAATGTATGTATTTGTTTGGAAAATTTGATATTATTATTAATATAGCAAATAAATAGTAATATAAAAAACATTTTAATATTTTGCCTACTAATAAATACCAGCCCTATATTACCGTGCTATTGGCTAATATTTTGACGCACGTAATTGGTAAAACCAAATAGATTTTGTTAGCTTACTCACAATTTGCAGGACCACATGTAAGGCATATATTGACCTGCTTCTGCTGAATCGGCAGCGGCTTACGACGGACCCAGGGGCGCTCTGCATCTGCTGTGGGAAGCTGCAGTACGGTTACGCGTTCCGGACGATTAGCGGTCGAGACATCGTGTGGCGCTGTGTAGCCTGCGAGACCGACCCAAAGCAGTTGAGTTCTGGGAGGAAAAGCCCCCACCACCTGGGTTGGCCGAAGTGCGTCGCAAGGAAAGCCTGGCAAACGTCAAGAAAGCGATGGGTCCTGACTGGTACCCCAAGAAGAAAAAGAGGCGCAGCCGCACTCGCAAGCTGACCGCCCGAAACGCCAAGTACATCGAGCAAAAGAAGCAGCAGAAGAGCAAGTAGTGGTAAATATACCCTTTATGCCCCCATTTTCCTACCTATTTTTGTTTTGGTATACTGGCTCACG